AAGAAGCATTGACGTATTAAGAGACCCTTGAAGTCTGAGAGTCAAATTTGCAAATATCATACATATCTATTTTAAAATAACTTTCCTTTTTCTTGTTACAGAAGTCACACATCTTTAGAATATGATATTTAGAAAATATGGCCAAGCAAAAATAAAATAAAAATTACCCATAATCTTACCACTTTTTTTTATCATTAACTAAGTTTATTGGTACAATTTAGATATACATAATGATCATATTCATCATATGGAACTTATACCTGTACATGACATATCTTTATGATGTTTCTTCCTATTCCCCTACCCTCTCTTCTACCTTTCCTCCTTTTCTTATTTATAAGAGCTTTGTTTCCATTTTTTCTTCCTTTTCTCATTTTTTCTCTTCCCCTCCTTTCCCTCTCCCCCCTCCCTTGTGCCCCTTCCCATTTGAACACTTTCTTCCTACTTTACAATATCTATTATACATTTTGGTCCTGTTATGTGCACACCTATAGCAGCACAGTTTGTAATAGCTAAATCTTGGAGACAACCCAAATACCCATCAGTCAATAAGAACTGATAAAGAAGATGTGGTTTTTTTCATTGAGTTTATTGGTACTTTTAAGGTATACAATACAATGACATTCATCATTGGGAATTTGTCCCTTTACATGATATATCTTGGTTCTTATTTTTTCCCCATTCCTCTGCCATCTTTGAACCCCTCCACCCCTCTCTATTTACAAAGACTTTGTTTTCATTTTTTCCTTTTCTCATATTTTTTCTTTTCCCTTCTTTGCTTCCTGCTATCCCTCCCATTTCCCCTTCCCCTTTAGACCTTTTCTTCCTATTTCACATTATTGATTATACATTTTGATCCTTATTTACACTTTCACTTTCTCACATCAGAGAAACTATTCAGTATTTACACATATGTGTCCTGTTTATTTCACTTAAGAGTATCACCTCAATGTGCATCCATTTAGTTATAAATGTCGCTAGTTTCTCATTCTTTATGGCTGAGTAGTACTTCATTAAAAAAAAAACAACGTATCTTCTTTATCCAGTCTCCAGTTGATCGGCAATTGGGCTATTTCCAAGTTTTAGCTATTACAAACTGTGCTGCTATGAACATGAGTGCACATATATCACTATGATATGATTCTTTTAATTCTTTTGGGAAGATAACCAGTAGGGGAATAGCTGGGTCAAATGGGACCTCTAATCCTAGTTATTTGAGGTATCTCCATATTGATTTCCACAGTGGTTGCCCCAGTCTGCATTCCTATCAACAATGGAGAAGGGTTCCTTTCTCCCCACAACCCTGCCAGCATCTGTTGTTGGTTGATTTCTTGATAGCAGCCATTCTTTCTGGGGTGAGGTGGAATCTCAGCATTGTTTTCATTTGCATCTCTCAAATGACCAATGATGTTGAACATTTTTTCATATCTTTACTTGCTGTTTTTATTTCTTTGTCTGAGAAATGTCTGTTCATTTCAGATGCCCATTTTTGGATTGGGTCTTTAAATTTGGGAGGTCTGATTTTTTAATATATTTTAGATAGTAGTCCTTTGTCTGAGGAACAGCTGGTAAAATTTTTTTCCCACATTGTAGGTTGTCTCTTAGCTCTCTTGGTGGTTTCTCTTGCAGTGCAAAAGTTTTTTAATAAGATGAGATCCCAGTTGTTGATTCTCTGTGCTAGTTCCTGTGCTACTGAGTTTTGTTCATAAAGTCTTTTCCTATTCCAATGTCTTCAAGAGTTCTACCCAACCTATCTTGTAGTAAGTTTGGTGTTTCTGTTTATATATTTAGATCTTTGATCCACTTCGATTTCACCATGGCAGCATGGTGAAAGATATGGGTCTAGTTTTAATCTTTGGCAAGTTGAAATCCAGTTTTTCCAGCACCGTTTATTAAAGAGGCTATCTTTCTCCCAGTGAGGATAGTCTGCTCCTTTGTCAAAGATGAAGTGGCTGAGTATGTCTGAAGTTGTTTCTGCATCTTCTAATCTATTCCACTGATCCTTGGGTCCATTTCTTTGCCAGTACTATGCTGTATTTATCACAGTGGCTTTGTAGTATAGTTTCAAGTTGAGGATTGTGATACCCCCTGTCATGTCTTTGTTGCCTAGAATTGCTTTTGCTATTCTAGGTCTAGAAGATGTGTTTTTTTTTCCTGCTTTTTTTGGGGGGGTACCAGGGATCGAACTCAGGTCCTTGGGCTTGCTTAGCAAGTGGCGAAACCACTGAGCTAAATCCCTCGTCCCTGTTTTTTTTTTTTTTTTTTTTTTTTACAGAATGGAGTACCACTCTGCCATGAAGAAGGATAAACTTATGACATTTATAGCTAAATAGATGCACCTAGAGATGATACTCTTAAGTGAAATAAGTTGGGCACATATGTGTAAATCTTACCACTTTTTGTACACATACTCCTGTTACACCTTTCAAAAGCACATTATGATTGTAGTCTTAATATTCTTTTTTTTTTTTTTGGTACTGAGGTTCAAACTCAGGACCTTGTGCTTTTGAGGCAGATGTGGCACTACTGAGCTAAATTCCTGCCCCCCTTGGTCTTGATATTCTTAATTCTTAATAATTTTTTTGAGTGTATGTCTATAAGTGAAGTCTGATGAGGCAATGGGTATGTACTCATCTTTCCTACTTGATGGGTTCTTTGTTCCCTGCTGCCCACACTGGGTCCTTCCTGTCACCACCCTCCCCATTCCCATCCATTGACACCTGCCACCCCCTGCCCTTGGTGGAGTCTTGGGTTCAGGGAGGGTCAGGATCAGGTGTAGATGCCCTGCAGTGTCAGGGGTGGCGCATAATGTTGGCGACCTGACCTGTGCTGACAGCTATTCAGTGGGTAACTAGGTAGGGATGTTCCTTTCCTCCCCCAATAGATGGCGCATGGAGGTTGCACAGAAGTTGCAGTACCTTAGCAGGTTACCCATGGGACAAATGGGAGGGGGGAAAGATGCCTGATTTGCCTTTTCTTCCCTTACTGGGGCAGGGAGGCTCTGGCATCTTGTGGGAGAGAGACCCTCTCAGGTGAGTGTTCCTTCAGACTATTCTGTGCCTGAGGGACCTTCTCTTCCTCCTACCCAGCTTCTTGAATCTGGCTTGTGGTAGTTTCTTCTGGTCAGCTCAAGACACTCCCTAGGGTTGAGCCATGAAATACAAATTGTGTAATCTCAGTGATTCTGCCTCAGAGTGAAATGATTTTCTCTTTGTGTTTCTTTGTGATTTTCTTTCCCCCCCCAGTACCAGGGTCAAACTCAGGACCTTGCACTTGCCAGGCAGGCATGCTGTTTATGTTTAAAAGTGGCAGTGTAGAAGAAAAAGATGGTAATGAAGTAATGGAACAAAATATACCAAAAGATGGATGAATTGGCATTAAGTTACATAAATTATAAAATTAATGTAATATCAATAACATAATAGGATATTATTATTATGGACAAGATACCAAGGGAGGGAAGTCTAGAAAGAGAAAGAATATCACTAAACAAAACAATGTTTAGTAGTTGGGTCAACGGGAGAGCACATGCTTAGTATGTGCATGGTTAGCATGTGGAAGACCCTAGGTTCAATACTCAGCTCCAAAAACAAACACACCTAAATAAGCCTCTCAAAACCCCAAGGATTTAATAACTTTAATGCTGAGGCCCAGGCATCTCCCTGAGCATTTAACATGTACTAACTTCCACAGCCCTTATAATAATACCAAGAGGTAAGTGTTATTACCTCTTACCTTTTTACTGAGGCAAAGAGAAGTTAAGTGACTTGGCCCAGGTCACATACCAAGTTAGTAGAGGAGATAAAATTCAAACCCAGGACCATCACTCTTTCTGTATTATCTTTGGTGTAGAATGCTATACCATCTTTGTCCTTATTACATCTTTTCCATTGCATATTGTATTTGGACTAGTTTATTCCCATGTCTATATCACCAGTTGACTTTAGCTCTTTGAAGGAAGGTACAGTGTTGTACTAACCATTGTCTCTCTAGTCTCTGGCACATAGTAGGCATTAGACAAATATTTGCTGAACTGTTAAATTTTTAAATTGGATTGGCCTTGAATGAAAGAGCTGAGATTATGAAGACATGATTACTTTACTAAGCTTAGAAAGCATCTCACTATATTAACACCCTTAATAAAGATACTGTAAGAATTAAAGAAATATTTATGAGAATTGGAAGAAAACCAAATCACATTGAATGGTTATGTCCGTGTTGACCTTATGGGAAAATTTGATTTGATTCTCATCCAATTCGGTTTGCGACCAGAATCGTGGAAAGAATTAAGTTCGTGAACTGAGGTACCACTCTATATGCAGGCATAATATATTCACTTGCTATTAAGGATTGTCTTTAGCCAGTTCTAAGAACAATAACCATTACAGTTTTACATTTGACTATATTATTTTAAAAATATTTTTGGTTACTATTTTTTTCTTTTACATTAAAAATATTTCTATCTTTCCAACCTTATCATACTCTACCCTCCACCTCAAGTTTACTATTTTGTTGTGCCTGATTAGAAGAGTAGTCTTATTTTTCCTGCATGTCTGATTGTTCTGTATGGCTTGTAGGACCAGGCTCATGTCTGTGCATTTACACACAGACTAATTTCTTAGGCTTCTCAATGGTGTGACTGGAGGGAGCTTCAGTGTTCTGACTGCCTTTGAAATATTTCTGACAGCTGCTATTAAATATGTACATATACAGCCTGGGATGGCATGTATTTTCATTCATTCATTATTGGGACCAGTGGGTTGTAAGAGTCTGTAATCCCTTAGGGATGAGGTATAGGCTGATAGAAAGGGTCCAGGAGACAGAGGAACCCACAGGAGAAGGGCAGCCAGAGTATAGGGTTCATTGTTTCTTTACACTTCTATCTGGGACAACCTCTGCCAGTAGTAAGTGTAGTCCGTAAAGACACTCCATACTACCAGAAAATAAAACAACACCTAATGATGATCAGTAATGTTTTGCATTTTGCATCTTGTTTGCAGAGTCTGTGAATGCAACAATCGCATTCTCCTTCAAAGGAATACGATTTGCTAAGGTATTGTTCAAGATTTATTCTGTACTTTCTTAGTGTTTTACAGTAACAGATGTGTTAAGAATTTGAAGCAAGCAATTCATGACTTCTAAAAATAGTGATTCAAGATTAAGATGTTCAACAATTTTGTTTTAGGCCTTTTTTCCTTCTATAGAATGGAAAAATTGCATATAAAGGAGTTTTTTTAGGGGGGGCTGCAGATGTAGCTCACTGGTAGAGTGCTTGCCTAGCATGCTTAAAGCTCTGGGTTTGATCCTCAGCACTAAACAAAAAAGCTCTTTTTCACTTCATTTTCTCTTTCCAATGTACATGGGTAAAAATAAGGAGAACATTTACTGCTACTCTGTTGGTCTTCATATGAAAACACTGGGCCACTGTCTTAGTTACTTCTCTTGGTGCTGAGACAAAATACCCAACACCTAAAGTTAAAGGAGGAAAGGTTTATTTAGCTCACAGTCTGTAGAGGTTTCAGCTCATAGTTGCTTGGCTCCAAGGCAGGGTGGCATGGCAGAGGGGCATCGCAGAGGAGAAACAGTCTACAACAATCAGGCAGGCAAGAGCAAGCAAGGGGCCTTAGTGGCTTTTTTTCTGCCCCTTTTTATATGCTATCTAGGCTATGGGGATTGGGGTAGTGCCAAACCAATCAGTGAACTGATTTAGTAATCACACATCCTTAATCCCAGCATTGTACCATGAATCAATCATGCACTCTAGCTCCAGCTGCAAAAGTCCCACTTAAAACCACATGAGGCTTTGGGGAGGACATCTAAATACAAACCATAACAGCAACAATTGTGTATAAGTCAGTAACTCTATAACTATTCATGTAATATATTAAATATGTTATAAAAATTGGGAAAATAAAAATCACATAAATTATAGTCTTACTTTTGTGTAATTTTTTTTGGGAACTTAGCTTGGATGTTCAAGCCTCTGTAAAAATAACTACTTCTTCAGTGAATACCATTGTAATTTGGATATTTGCGTTCACACACATAGCAATGAAATTTACACATTTCACTTTTGGTGACTATTTTAAAAGAAACTTTAGTAATGCATACTCTTATTTGTTACAAATGACATATAATATTTGAAAACCTTGTAGGCTATTTAAAAAATTATAAATATCACTCATCTTATAACTGGGAAATAAATAGACTGTAGGCTCACTGAATTCGAAGGCATGCAAAATTGCTTCTCATTGGAAAACTAAGAAAACAATAACCTAGCTGGAAGTTTTAGCTCAGTGGTAGAACATTTATTTGCTTAGCATACACCAGGCCCTGATTTGATCCCCACCACCATAAGAAAATGATGACCAGTTCTATTTGAATGGAATTCTACTGGTAAGACAAAGTTCTTATAAAGCCTTTAAAATAGTAGCAGGTAACATTTTTTGGATTGTTAGATCTAACATTGTTGTGTTTTTTATTCCTCATTTTAGGGCCGATACAATTGTGTTGCAGAAGCCATCACTGGAGATATTGAAGAAAGGCTTTTTTGTTTGAATTTTACCATCGAGCACCTCCCTCATTTAAATTAGAATAAATTAAGACTATTTTTTATTTTTCAAAAATGTTCTTATTTAATGTAATAGAGGGTACCTGAAATCTATTTTAATTGGGTATGGGAAGATACAGGGCACAGGAATGACTGTTTTGAAGGAAAATGTATTTTTTTTTTTTGGTACTAGGGATTGAACTCGGGTCCTTGCTCTTTCGAGGCAGGTGCTGGAACCACTGAGCTAAATCCCTGGCCTGGAAAATGTATTTTTGTTGTTGTTTATTCAAGACAGGATCTCGTTATGTAGCCAAGGCTGGCTTTAAACTTGTGATCCTCCTGTCCCAGCCTCCTAGGTGCTAAAATCACAGGTGCGTACCATCACAGCTGGCTAAGGAAGACATTTATACTTTATAGGTGCCTAAAAGCAGGTGCCATGGTGTATCACCTAGAGCCATACAGTGGAGCACCAGGGTCAGTCTGGAGGTGGAAAGAGTGGAAAAAAAAATGGGGATAAGAGCTTTTGTTTCTCACAAAAAGGACTGTGTAAGGCAGGGTCAGCAGGTTTAAGCTGGTGATTTCAAATAATTTCAGCAGTGTCTGGGCCATCCCTCAATTTCCGGTGCCTGGCCCTGGGGTTATTAGGGTGGGTGGATAGTGGTACTGAATGTGAGCTCCCCCTAGAGGAGGTGGGTGGAGTGAGGGCTCTGGATTGACTGGTTGCAAAGAAAAGGTGTCATCACTGCATTTAAGGATTAGCTGTCTCTGGGAGGAGAGGTCCCTCAGAGTCGGGAAGCCTCTGATGTAAAAGGGTCAGAAATACAGAAAGTACGGATGCCTGGTTAATACAATTCTTTACATATTTTTTTTCCAAGGGTGCAAAACCTTTTGAATCCATTGCCTTCTTCCAATTTGTCTGCTATTACCCTGAGGCAGGTCCCCAGCACTGCTCCTGTAGACTGCTCTGCAGTCTCCTGGCTGACCTTGCATATGCTCATGTACCTCTTCAAGTTTTTCTCCACAAGGGCAGTATTAGCAATATTTTCAAAATATAACTCTGGTCATGTCTCTGCAATGCAAATGCAGCAAAATAAAACAAAGCAAAGCAAAAACAAAGCAATCCTTGTGGCTTCCTGTTTTTTGGGAATAAAGCTAGAATCTGTTGGGAGCTTGCCAGGCTCACCCACATCCCTTCTGGCCCCTTCTCCTACTACTTTCTCTTTGCTCTCTGTTATAGAGTGTGCTGATCTCCCCTTCTCTCTGGACCTTTGCTTACATAGTTCCCTCTGCTCAACACTACTCCTCTACTTCCTCACCCTTACTCTCTGTAATAAGTGTTGATTTTTCTCAGCTCAGGTGGTACTTTTTTGAAGTTATCAGCAGGTAAGGTAGAGTATGCTTCTTGTACTTTTGTTACTGGGCTGAGGCAATCTCAAGTGAAATCTTAGAAAATCACTTGATGTGAAGCCTGGGTACTATTCTGTGGCCTTCTTGACCCTCTAGGTCATTTCTGTGGTGGTTAGAGTGGAGTGACCACTTGATCGGCTTTGGGATCTGCCCAACAATGAGTGGAGCACACTTCTGGGTGGGTCATGGAGGTGTGGCCTTGAGGTCTATGTCTGGTCCCTTGCCCTTTCCTATCTGGCACTGTTCCCCTGCTCTGCTTCCTGGCCACCATGAGCTAAGCAGCTTTGCTTCACCACACCTTTCCACCATGATTTTTTTGCCATGGAGCTAGATTGGACTGAATCCCCTGAAACCATGAGCCAAATTAAACCTCTTCTCCTTTAGATTGTGGGTGTTGAGTATTGTGTCTCAGCAACAGGAAAGCTGACACATACACTTTCTCTCCACTGCCCTCTATCTCACCCAGAGGGGACCAGTGTTCTTTTTGATATGCTTTTGTATACCTATATCCCTTCCTTCCACCATCCAAACAATGATTTTGCCATTCTGATCATTAATCCCTAGACTTAGCTTCATGTGCTCCTGTGGGGTGGCCAGCTCAGATTTGCTTTGCATGCTTGTCTAGCCCTGAGCATAGTATGCTGTGAATCCATATTTGTGGAATGAATAAATGAATGTTTTCTTTTCATAAAAGATTCATGTAATGTATAACCATTCAGAACAACAAGGCATGCCATCATTTGACTAATATTTATTATTTATCTACTGTATCAGGCCCTGTTCTAGGTATTGGAGTTACAGCATTTAACAATCTAGACCATCAAAACAAAACAAACCCCCCAAAACATTAACCCCCCCCCCCAGCAAACAAATAAAAAATCCTTATCTTCATAGGGTCTGTATTTTTGTGGAGAAAGAATAATAAGATGAATAAGTAAATGATAAAATACTTTAAGGATTGGGCATGTAGCTTAGTGGCCCTGTGCCTGCCTGACAAGTGCAAGGTCCTGAGTTCAATCCCTAGTACCAAAAAACCCCACAAACTTTAGAAGCAAACATACTCTTTAAGTGCTATATACCTACACAGAAGGGAGAAATGGGCAGAAGTGGAGGTTGTGATGTTTGAGGTTTTAAACAGGATTATCAGGAAAGGCCACACTGAGAATGTGGATTTTGTGAGGCTTGAATGAGCAAGCGATGTTCAAGGAACTGTTCAAGTGAAGGATATGAAGCAAAAAGAGGTCATGGGTGAATGAGTGGGTGGCCATGTGCTAGAGTTTGATAGGCCATTGTTAGGACTAAAGCTATTTCTCTGAATGAGATGGAAAACCCCTGGAGGGTCTTGTATAGGAGAGAGTCATAAGTGTCACTTTAAAGAGATATATTCTGGCAGCCATCTGGAAGAAGCTGGGTGACTTTTGGTGACAATCTATGTAGGGAAGGAATGACAAAGTTGGGAGGTTGAGGGGATCCAGACAGAAGATGGAGGAAGTGATAAGAAGTGACCTGTGCTGAAGACAGAAACTGCAAAAATACTTTTGCTGATGGGTTAGATATAGGGTGGGAAAAGAGAGAAGTTGAGGGTGATTCTAGCTTTTTTCTTTTTGCAGATGGAAGGGTGCCATTACTTGAGGCAGAGAAGTTAGGGAGCAGCAGGTTTTAGGGGGGAAAAATCAGGAACTTGTTTTTGACACTTTGAAATACTATTAGATACTCCAGTGGAGACTTTCAAAAGTCAATGGATAAATGAATCAAAAGTTCAGGAGAGTGGTCTGAGCTGGAGACAAACATTTGGAAGCTTTTAGCATACAGAGGGAATGAATATAGATAGAGAAAATGAAGTCCAAGGACTGGGTCCTAGAGTACTCTTATCCTGGGGTTGGCAGTTTGGAAGGGACTGGCAGGACACTGAGACTGAGTGGATGGAGGTAGGAGGACATCATTCTGTTGGAAGCCAGGGGAAGGAAGTGTTTATTAAAAATTTTTTTTATTGACAGGCAACAATGTAATTTATTTATTTATTTTTTCCTTAAATTCTTTTATTGGTACATTTTAGGTATACAATACATTTACGTTTCTCATTGGGAACGTGTACCTTTACATAATGCATCTTGGT